GGGCACCTGGTGCTGGGGGGGTTGGTGGTTGGAGACTCCCCCAGAGGAATGGGGGAAATCCAGGGGTCTCTCCCTTTAGCCAAGCACCTCCTGGTGATGGAGGACTTGGTTAGCTTTGGGGCTGGTGGCCCCCAAATTTGGGAGGAAGGTGGAAAAAGGTTGGGGTGCACCCGTGTGTGTATGTGTGTGTAGCTGCCAACATGGGTGTACTGCTGAGTTGTAGGGCGTGAGGCTGTTTGGGAGCTGGCCTGTGGCCCAGGGTGCCTCTAGGGGGCCATGGAGGTTGGGGGTGCAGTGGGTACCCTCCAAACATACACACATGTCTGCATCTCCTGTGGGCAGCAATGCAGATGTGTCCTTTGGACCTCATTCCCATTCATGCCAGGCAGGGATCTATTTTCAGGAGGGGGTGGGGGCCCCACCGTCTGCAGGGTTATTTGTCACAGGTGGGGCCATGCTGTTCCGTCCGCAGTGACAACAGCACGGAGCTCCTTCCGAGGCTTGTGACGCTTTTTCTTTCCTGGAACAGGAGGCCTCGTAAGCCTACCTCCGCCTCTGCCCCCGGATGCCCTGGGACCTACACCCCGACATCTGGCAGCTCCCACCCCACCTTTCCAGGAAGACAGCATCAAAATAAGAGATGGGTGTGTAGGGAGAATGGACAAGGAGCTCAGGGTTAGGGAAAGCAAGAGGGCAGGGACCCCCAGCATTCCCGGGGAGTGGTGGGAGGACAGAGCCTCAGTATGGAAAGAATGACCTCTGCCCCTCCCCTAGCCCTTCCTCCCTGACTCTGCTCATCGCAGACCAGGGTGGGCGGGCTCAGAAGGGTGCGGGTTTGAGTAGTTACTGAGCGCGCGCCTAGAGCCCGGGCTCTGCAACAAGAGGAGCCGCTGCAATGAGAAGCCTGTGACCTGTGACAAGGAGTACCCCTGCTTGCCACACTAGAGAAAGCTCTTGTGCAGCACCGAAGACCCAGCACAGCCTGAAATAAGTAGATAACTAAGAGGAACCAAGCCAAGTCACAGAACATACATCTGAAAACAAAAAGGAGAGTGCTGGTTTGACTCCTAACTCTGCAGGACACCAGCCGGGAAGCCTCCCCCGGTTACCTGGAGATTCTCAACAAAGGGTGGTCCTGCCCCACACTGAGAGCCCTGGAAGTGCTCCAGGGCTGAGAGATTGAGGCGAACCCAGCTCTCCCGTGTTGCGGGCGGATTCTTTACCCTCTGAGCTACCAGAGAAGCCCTTCTAGGGCCATGGTGGTTTAGTTGCTAAGTTGTGTCCGATCCTTTGCAACACGGTGGACTGTAGCCCGCCACGCTCCTCTGGCCATGGGATTCTCCAGGCAAGAATACTGGAGTGGATTGCCATTTCCCTTTCCAGGAGGTCTTCCTGACCCAGGAATCGAAGCCGGGTCTCCTGCATTTCAGGCAGATTATTTCCCGACTGAGCTGTAAGGGCAGCCCCCTCCAGGGCCATGGCCATGGTCACCACTGGCATTCCTGGGCCAGGGGCAGTGAAGACACAGCAGTGGGGGGGGGGGGGCAGAATTTCCCTGCCTCACCTGCCAACAGCACCCCAATTAAGCAACACCCATGCTTAACCTCTGGCAAAATACAAATAACTGTAATAAAGCCTTTTCTGTGTGTGCTCAGGGGCTTAGTTGTGTTGGACTCTTTGAGGCCCCCTGGACTGTAATCTGCCAAGCTTCTCTGTTCATGGGATTTCCCAGGCAAGAATACCGGAGAGGGGTTGCCATTTCCTCCTCAAGGGGATCTTCCTGACCCAGGGATCGAACCTGCGTCTCCTGCATTAGCAGGTGGATTCTTTACCACTGAGCCACCTGTCCTTTGCAGGGCAGTTGTGAGCCTTGAAGGGCCTCTTGTATCTGAAGTGCATGGTGATGTAGGTGGAGGCAGAGTCTACCCTCAGGAGGCGGTGAGTAGCACTGATATCTGGGGGAGGGACATGGTTCTGAATAGGAACCTCAGTTACGTTTATCACCCAGGATTTTACCTTTTTCTTCCACCATTCAAGGATCAGGGGAAACATAGTTCGGGGCACTCTCAAGCTCTCCTGTCCTTAAGGACAGAGACCGCCCCAACCAAGGTTTGGAGAAACTTAAAGTGAGAAGGAGCTTTCCCGACCTCTGAGAAGGGGTTCAGCACCCCCATGGGGGCTCAGAAAACCCTGCTGGTACCCCACCCCCGCAGGCAAAGACATCCACAGGGTGGGAAGGGGCTCAAGGACATGGCTGAGGGAGGTTGGGGTGGCCTGTGGGTGCCCCTCCCCAGCCCCCAGGGGAGCCATGTAACCTCAGGACTCAGAAAAAGGGGATACAGAAATCTTGAAAGGGACTGAGTATTTACTAGTTTAGAGGACAGCCTTGGCTGTCAGAAAGCAAAATTAAATCTAAACTTATATTTTGCTCACTGGGATTGTGGCCTGAGCTCACTACGTAATATTTCTCTTTGTCATAGGTCCATGGGATGCTGGGTCTTCTGGGATCAGAGGCAGCATCTGGGGGGGATTGGGCCTCAGGAAACGGAAGGGCCACACCGTGGACCCACAGGCCTCAGGTGAGGCAGAGAAGTGATGGGGGCTTCCAGAGAGGAGGGTCTGGGCACATGGGTTCCAACACCTATTTCCTGGGTGCTGTTGTGGGCAGGGAAAGGCAATGTGGTGCTGCCTGTAAGCAGGGAGGGCAGGGTTGAGGGACCGACTCCCGACCTCATCTGGCCTCTTGGACACCAGCTACAAGGCTGGGTTCCAGCCTCCTTTTGGAGAGGGCAGGAGACAGCCAGACTGAGCCAGAGGAGGGAGCTTGAGCCCCTGCCCTCCCCAGTTCACTCCCCAAGGCTTCCCCACTTTTCAATCCCCCAGCCCTTCTTGTCGCCCTCAGTTCCCGTCGTTGTCCACACACAGAGGCACAGGAGGCAAAAGCGTACCCGTCCGAGGCACCGGGAGGTTTATTATAAGAACTGTACAAAGGAGCCTTCTGCTGGCCTGGCTTGGGCCTGTTCCCACCCAGACAAGGTGCAGTGGCCGTGGGTCTGCAGGGGGAGGAGGCCTGGACCCCGTTCAGCCACACTGGCTCTGCACCCGGCCCAGTGGAGAGAGTTCAGTCCAACAGAGGCTGAGGCTCTGGGGCCACACTCGTCCGGGCCCCGAGGAGGAGGAAGGAAAGGACGTGGGCAGGGTGCTGGTCAGAGAGGAGGCTGACCCCTGGAGGAACTTCTGAAGAAAGAGCCAGAACTGCTGCAGGGAGAGATGGAAGGAGCAGGGGCTCCTTCCAGAGAGGACCCAGGCCGGGCCAGGGAGCGGGGCTGGGGGTGGGCGTGAGGAAGAGACGCAGAGAAGGCAGAGGGTGGCCTCACGGCGGTGAGAGAAAGGAATGCCCGAGCAGAGCGGCCGGGAGGCTGGCAAGTGGGGCAGACGGAAAGGAAGGGTCCGGCCTGTGGGCGTGCACGCAACACACACACACACATGTTGTTTGGAGGTTTTGCTGCTTCCTGAGTTTTAATCAAACTGTTCACGAGAAACAAGAAAAAGAAGAGGAACTGAGCTCAACGGGGGTGGGGTGGGGGGCTCAATGTGCAAACCTGACCACGTGTGTTCACACTCACATACACACTCACAGCACAAGGACGCTTCCATGGACGGGCCGACAGAGAAGACACGCGCATACCCACTGGTTAAGCACTCCAGGGCACGCTGACACACAGGCACACGGATATACACGTAGACAAATGCATATGCAGGTTCTATGGGACACAATGGTCCACAGACTCACACGCACACACACACAGGTGAGTAAATCCAGTGACCCCCTAGCCGGCGTCTCACCCCCTCCTCCAAGCTCGGCCTCTGTCTGTCCTTGGGAGCCCAGATCAGTGATGCCAACAGAAGCACCGCACAGCTTCCAGTGGCCGGAAGTTGGAAGCTTGGGCCTGAGCCGGGTGAGCGGTGCCCGCCTCAGTGTTGAAATCTCGAACGTGAGCTCAGCTAGAACATTCTTAGGATCACTTTGAGGAGGGGAAGAAGGATGGGGCAAGAGGAAGAGAAGGGTGTGACGGGGGGTAAGGACGGGACCCTGGGGCTGGGGAGGCTGCCAGGAGCCCAAGTGGTGCTGATGGGGGAGGGAGGAAGGCAGGGGGTAGGGAGGGAATCTTCTTCCCAAGCCCCAGGGACCCCGACCCCACCCCAGATGGGGTGCTCAGGCCAAGGAAGCCCCCAGCTTAGCGATACACTGGTGGGATCCAACCCATGCTACCCACCCCCTCATGCTTTCGAGAAAAAGATAATTCCCAAGGGGAATCTTCCCTTCTGCTCTTCTCCCAGGGGCCAGCCAGGGAGCTGGGGGGCCTGGGCAATGGATGAATCGGGAAAAGATTCAGGGGCCACAACCCAGCCCAATGTCTCAGCATCCAGTGGCCCTCCCCCACCCCCACCGGCTATGTGGAGCCATTTCTGAACCAGGGGTGTTTTCCTTCTCCTGAGAATTCCTGAGCAGGCAGGGTGAGCCACATCCCAGAGGCCGGACAGGGTGGCAGGCCCTGGGCTCAGGTGTCTGCTCTCACTGAGGTTAAGACTTCCTTGTCCCAGAGGGAGCTGGAGGCCTGAGCCACTGCCTGCGGAGAGGTCAGTAGCCCTTAAGACTCTGGGGGCAGGAGGGCAGCCAATCCCTCCATCACAGGCCGGCTCCTCCCAAGTCGGGGGCAGAGACGCTGAGGTTCTGACCTCCCCGGAGCTGTGAGGAGGGCAGCAGGGCCCATGAGGAGGTGAGAGCAACTTGAAGGTAAATTTCGCGGAGGCAGCGGCCTCAGCCCAGAGTGGAGACTTCAGGTACAGTTCCCCCTTCCACAGCCTGGGTGACAGCCCAGCATGGACAAAGCCCGTCCCCAACAGGGAGCTGAGTCAGTCCCAGATGCACAGCCTAGCTCCCTCAGCAGCAGGCACCGAGGGGGTGCTTCGGGGCTGTGCCACCTCACCACCACCTGCTAGACGAGAGACTCTTTGACCCCTGGGCGCACCGTCTGCCCCGGGGGTGGGGCAGGAGGGAGGGGTGCGTCGGAGGGGCTGATGGGCCTGAGCCCCATGGCAGGTCCGGGGTCCCCTGCGGAGCCCCTCTCCTCCTCTTTGCTTGGCACACCACTGTTCCCATTGTCGGGGCCGTACATCTTGCTCATGGTGTCGGCGATCAGCCCCTCCTTCTCGGGGGCCCCATCCCCACCGCCATCATGGTTGTGGCGGTACATGTAGGACGCCTGCTTCACGGAGCGCTGCAGCAGATGCCGGCGGTAGGCCCTCTGGATCTTGATGGCGCACACTTCCTCATGCTTCCTCTTTAGTGTGGTGGTGATGGGCTCGTAGGAGACCTTGGAGGGGTTGGCGGCCATGAACTTCTCCTCCATGGTCTCCTTGAGGGCATCCATCTCCCCGGAGTCGCCCAGGACTTCTTTGGTCAGGGCAAAGAGGATGTCCAGGCAGTGGATCTTGTCTCCCGGCACCATGGGCAGGTCCAGCGTGATGAGCTTGATCTTGTTGGGCTTGGCGATCCTCAGTGGCTCCTGCAGGGTGTCCACGAAGTCAGAGAGGCGGCTGTAGTCAATGAACTGCGTGGCGTCGGGGTCAAACTTCTCCCACGTCTCATAGAACATCTCAAAGTCGTCCTCCCCGAGAGGCTCGCTGCTCTCCTCCGTGGCCACGTTGAAGTTCTCCAGGATGATGGCGATGTACATGTTGACCACGATGAGGAAGGAAATGATGATGTAGCTGCAGAAGAAGCAGATGCCGATGGAGGGATTACCACAGTCGCCCCGGACGCTGGTGCCCGGGTTTTCCAGGTTGGGGTCACAGTCGGGGGGCCCGCTGTTGAGGATGGGGTTGAGGAGCCCGTCCCAGCCGGCCGACGTGGTGATCTCGAAGAGACAGATGATACTGTTGCCGAAGGTCTCGAAGTTAAACATGTCATCAATGCCCGCCTCCTTCTTGACGTAGGCGAAGTTGGACATGCCGAAGATGGAGTAGATGAACATGACCAGGAAGAGGAGGAGGCCGATGTTGAAGAGGGCGGGCAGCGACATCATGAGCGCGAAGAGCAGCGTCCGGATGCCCTTGGCCCCGCGGATCAGCCTCAGGACCCGCCCGATCCGCGCCAGGCGGATCACACGGAACAGCGTGGGTGACACGAAGTATTTCTGGATCAGATCGGAGAGTGCCAGGCCTGCAGGGAGGGAGGGGTGAGGAAGAACTGCTGCCCTGGGGGTGGGCGGCAGGGTCAGGGAGCAGGGGGTAGGCGCAGCTCCAGGGGGCATGGTGTGCTGGGCTCGTCTACCCCAGGAAGGAGCAGTAGAAACTCATTGCTCAGTGTACAGCCCAAGTGGCCTGACCTGTTAGACTCTCCCAGGGCTCTTGGGGCCCCAGGCTCCATCTCTGTCCCAACTCAGCCGGGTGCAGGTGGGATGTGCCAAAGTGGATAGAAGGGTGGGTAAGGCCCATTGCCAAGGCTGTTCACAGATGCCATGGATGGGAAGGAGGGGGAGGACAGCTCTGGATGTGTGACTATGGGCATGTCGCCTACCTGGTTTGTGACTCAGTTTCGTCATCTGTAAGATGGAGGTGACAACAGTCCCAGTCTCAGGACATTTGTTAGGAACAATTACTGAGCTAATACTGTGAAGTGCATGGCCTAGTGTTAGGCAAACTGCAAGTGATGGATAAATGATAGCTAGTTACTGTCATAATTACACACACCTCTCCTATGTGTAAGGCTCCTAGAACCATCTTCTTCTGTTTTTAAAGTTTATTTATTCGGCTGAGATGGGTCTTAGTTGTAACATGTGGGATCTTTAGCTGTGGCATGCGGGATCTAGTTCCCTGACCAGGGATCGAACCTGGGACCACTGCATCAGGAGTGCAGAGTCTTAGCCACAGGGCCACCAGGAAGTCCTGGAACCATCTTCTTATGTTTTTCCCGAAGCACGTGGGCACCTGAACGTGCATCTTCAGGTCAGGTGAATGCTTCTGGAGCTGTGGTCATGTGTGCACGGGGAACAGGCTGCCTGGGAACCCACCGTATGTGCTTCTGTGCATTTAGTATAGACACTGGGTACATACGCAGGTGTGTGTGTGTGTGTCTGTGTCTGTGTAAAAGCATACCCAGTGTATGAGCAGGTGTGCATGTGGACACGAGGAGGGGGACCCCGGGCCTTCCTGTATGACTCAGCCCAGCCTGGCCCTGCTCACCCACAATGGACAGGATGACAACCACGAAGTCGAAGATATTCCAGCCGACGGTGAAGTAGTACTGGCGCAGAGCCAGCATCTTGAGCACGCACTCGCCTGTGAAGATGATGATGAAGACCATGTTGATGTTGTACAGGATGTCCACCTTGAGCTGGCTCTGGTCGTCCGTCTCCACCATCATGGTGACCATGTTGAGGCAGATGAGGATCATGATCGTGATGTCAAATGCCTGCTTTGTCACCAGGTCATACACCAGGCCCTGGATCTTGTTCTACAGCAGGGGTGGGAGTGCGGGGAGGCGGGTGGGTGGGTGTGGGGGGCAGTGGTCAGAGCAGGACGTGGACCGGCAGGAGGTGCGAGAAGACAGGACGCAAGAGTATGGGGGGCCGGGAGAGAAAGAGAGAGAGAAAGAAGGCATTAGGGCTTGTGGTGGAGTCGGCCAGGGCTGGGGGAGGCAGGGAGACCCATGGAAACGGGCCATTCTGTGGGGTCTGTGGGCCTCCTTCCTCTCTCTGGGAACTTCCTGCCGAATTAAGGGCCCTCAGCAACCCCTCATCCTTCTCCCGAAGTGATTGCTCACTGGGGGAGCTGTCTGGACATCCTCTTCCTCCCCTTGCCCCCAGAGGCCATCAGCTGAGGCGCTGAATGGACACCGGGGGTGCCGTGCAGGGCTGGGCAGGGGGTAAGCCAGTGCCAAGTTTGTCAAGCCGCTGCTGCCTGCACATGAAGTGTGTCTTTATGGAGAGGCGCCCCTCACAGCAGGAGCGCCTCACCTTCCTGCAGGGGGCCCCAGCCTCACACCAGGGACACAGCCTGGTGGGCAGAGAGCAGGCTGCCTTTTGCATCCCCCCCCCCAACAGGGCCCCCTTAGGCAGGAGCCTCATATGGGCTGTAGGTGGAGGGGCCCGGAGGGCTGGTACCTGGGGCCTGGGAATTGGCTTCTGAGGCTTCTTGGAGCCAAGCTTCTTCATGGCGTTATAGTATTTCTTCTGTTCCTCTGTCATGAAGATGTCTTTCCCTCCAAAGTACAATGGGATGGGGCCCGTAAGGTTGGAGCGTCTCCCAACTCAGCTTCCAGGACTCCCTTACCTCAGACATCACCTGTAAAGCGGCCCCCATCCCAGCCAGGGGGCTTGGTGGGAAGAGGGAAGCAGGCCTGCTTGGAGGGCCAGAGATGGGGGTTGAAGGAGGCAGGGAAGGGGACGGAGGGGTCCAGAGAAGGGGCAGGTGGGTGACAGACAGAGGGAAGGGGCCGGCACAGCCCTCATGGCCCATTTTGGGCCACCTTCCATCAGTATTTCACTGGGTCCTCAGAATGAGCGAGCAAAGCAGGCAGCATGAATCTCATTTTGGACAGAAGGAAACCAAGGTTCTCAGTGGCCCCATCACTGGTTCAAAGTCACCTGATGGGATCGGAACCCAGGCTCACCGCCTCGATCAGGTGCTTGGACAGTGTTTGTGAACATACGAAGGAAGGAGTGGAACATACAAACAGGGTGGGAGGAGGGAGCCTAGCGAGGGGAGGACCCGGGGGGAAGGAGGGCTAGATACTCATCTTCTTCTTCTGCTGGTTGAAGTTGTCGATGATGACGCCAATGAAGAGGTTGAGGGTGAAGAAGGAGCCAAAGATGATGAAGATGACGAAATAGAGGTACATGTAGAGGTTCACCTCGTACTTCGGCTGCTCTTCTTTCTGTAGCGGTCGTCACAGGACAGGGGTGGGTGTGCGGGCTGGGCAGGGGGCACACGCTGCCTGCTCCCTGTCCCACTGTGGGCCCATCTACCCCTGTAGGCAGTGGGGTCTCAGGGGCTCCCGAGGAGGCGGCATGGGGTGGGGATGGATCTGAGTCCTTTCCCCCGGCTCACTCACCGGCCACATCTCACACATCTCAGGGACCCCCCACTCACCTCCCGGGAGTCCACGGCGGCATACATGATATCCATCCAGCCCTTGAAGGTGGCCTGCGAGAGTGTGGTTGGGTGTGAGGGGAGGGGCTACTCCCTGCTTCCACCATCCATGAGTTTCCCTCCCCGCTCCGGCATGGTCCACCCCAGAAGCTGCCTGCTCCGAGTCCCACTGGGCAGGCATCAAAATACAGACAGGTATGGACATGACCTCTGGGTCCTCCAGCCCTGGAAGCAGGTGGGGGGTTCCCTAATGAGGAGTGGCCGTGGGCTCAGTCCCAGTGAGATTCCAGGGGCATCTCCACCCCCGCCTCATGCAGGGGCTGCACGTCACACTCACCACCTGCAAGAGGGAGAGGTAGCCCAGACCCACGTTGTCGTAGTTGACCTTGACGTTGAGCCAGCGGACCTGGCCCGTGTGCATCAGGCTCTCGCACTCGGACTTGTTGTTGACCTCGGTGACTTCGAACCGCTCGGAGGTGGTGGTGTTGATGCAGTAGTAGAACTTGCCGGCAAATAGGTTGACGCCCATGATGCTGAAGATGAGCCAGAAGATGAGGCAGACGAGCAGCACGTTCATGATGGAGGGGATGGCCCCCAGGAGGGCATTCACCACCACCTGGGGGGCCGGCGGTGGGGAGGAGGGAGTCACTGCCAGATCCTCTCCCAGGCAGCAGGGTGGGGGGCATCACCCAGTCTCCTCTGGGAGAGAGCTCCCCACCCACACCAACCAGGGGCGCCAGGCAGGGAAGACTTCCTGGAGGAGGGCTGATCTGAATGAACCAGGCCTGCAGGAGAAGTCTACTGGGCTTTTTGTGGGGGTGGTGGGAGCAGGGAGCTGGGGTAGGGGGTTGCCGGCCTGCTGGCTGAAGAGGGCTCTCTGCTTCGCTGGAGCCAACAGCCCAGGGTGGGGAGCTGAGCTTCTCTGGAAGCAGCCTGGCCACGGGTCACCAGGCAGGAGACAAACACTCTTTCCTCGGCCCCCATAGGAAACTCAGTCCCCGTGACCTGGCCCCCCGGCTCATCTGCTCACAGGATTAGAGACAAAGACCCAGAAAAAAACGGGGCCTTTGAAGCAGCAGGAACCTTGGGGACTGGAGCTCTGTGCTCAGCCAGCCCTGGCCACACAGGCCAACCTCATTGTTTCCAGCTGAGCTGAATCTGAGAATTATCTGTTTTCAAGGAGAAGGAGTTTCATGACCTCCAGACAAAGTGAGTGGTGTAAGCCCGGTGATGCCCAGGGCAATTCTATTCCTGGCTGGGTCACCAACCAGCTCTGCAGCCACGGCCAGGTCATTTTCCCCCAGTGGGGAGGGGTCCCTGGCTGGGCCGGGCTTTGTATGGGAGACCCCAGGCTGAGTGCCCTGCTGACCTGCAACCATCTGCTTTGTGGAAGTCTGTCCCCGCCCCCAGAATAGGCCTTGCTCTTAACAGAACCCCTACTTCCACCTCTGGCCGGGGAAGTCCCCTTGGTCTTGCCTGAACCCTGTATTTACCTGTCACTTCCGCCCTCAAGGGCCTGAGGGAAGGATGGGCAGGCTCGGAGCCCTGGGGGGCCCCAGTCTGAGGCTGGGGAGAGTCACCTATAAACCCACAGACCTCCTTCCCCTCCTCCTGCCTGGGTGCCCTCAGGCCCCTCCTGGGGGCGGCTGCAGCCTCTGCTGCCCCCTGGTGGTGGCAGAGAGGAGTGACGGAGGGGACTGAGGGCAGGCCCGGGCACCTGGGCTGGTGTCGGGGGGTGCCTTTTGTTGTTGTTTTTGCTCAGTCGGGTCCGACTCTTTGCGACCTCGTGGACGGCAGCCTGCCAGGCTCGTCTGTCCTCCACCGCCTCCCAGAGTTTGCCCAAATTCATGTCCATTGAGTCAGTGATGCTACCTAACCATCTCATCCCCTGCCACCCACTTCTCCTTTTGCCATCAGCTGCCGGGGGGCCCCTCAGACCTGCACTCCCGGTGCTGGCCAGAGTGCAGACACGCCCCCAGCCCCCTTCCAAGCTGTGGCTGCTCCCCCAATTCTTAGCCCTACTCACAGTCCCCCTCGACACCCACCCTCATGCCCTCGAATCGAGACAGGGCCCTCAGGGGGCGCAGGGCCCTCAGTGTCCGCAGGGATTTGATGGGTCCCAGCTCTGAGTAGCCCAGCCAGTTGGCCACCAGGCTGATGATGGAGACCTGCAAACGGGAGGGCGGGTGGTCAGGGAGCGGAGGGCCTCGGCCCCAAGGGGGCCCTCCGGATCTGGCTCCGGAGTGGGCGGTGGGGCCGGGCGGGGTGGGGCGGACTCACGTCCACGATGAGGAAGTCGAGCCAGCACCAGGCATTGGTGAAGTACACCTTGAAGCCGTAGGCCACCCACTTGAGCAGCATCTCCAGGATGAAGATGTAGGTGAAGACCTTGTCGGCGTATTCCAGGATGGTGCGGATGACTCGCCGCTGCTCGATGTGGATGTCCTCGAAGGCCTGGGGGCACCAGCAGGCGGGTGGCCAGGGCCCGGAGGCTGGGGCAGCAGCCACATCCCTACGGCTGCCGGTTCCCAGGGGTCTGGCACTGGGGTCAGGTGCGGGGGCAGACTCCCCGCGCCCATCATGGGGGTGAGCGGGGGAGTTCCTGGTCGGGGGAAACCCCTCAGCTCCCCTTCCCCAGACCTGATGACGGGAATGCTCACTAACCTGCAGGGGGGTTCGCTGTGACACAGGCTGGCCCCCCTGAGCCCACATTCCCTTCCCACCTGCTCCCTGGTCGGGACCTGTCAGCCACGGAGGCACATGGAGTCAGAGCCCATCTGCCTCTTCGTGAAAATGAGCACAGTCTGCCACACACCTTGGAAGCACTGAGTTCTTTAGGGCTCTCTGGGTTCGGTCCTGTCCAGCAAGGGTCCCTCCCACGATGCAGAAAGGAGGGAGCCCTGGGACAGCCTGCTTCCGGCCTGGCCCCTGCCCCTGCCCTGCCCGGCCCCCAGGGCAGTGCCTACCAAGGCCCCACTGCTGAGCAGGATCATGAAGACAATGAAGGTCTCGAACCAGTTGTGCTCGACGATCTTGAAGCAGGCCCTGCGGAGGGTCCACCACTTCTTCCCTCGACCCTGGGAGATGTCCACGTAGAGGAAGGGAAAGCGCTGCACGCAGGCTGGGGAGGGAGGGCGGCAGGGGCACCCGTCACGGGCTGCCTGAGGAGCATGATCAGCCCGTTTCCCCCCTCCCCTTGCCAGGATGTGCCCCCTCCCCACCCGGACTGCATGCAGAGACACGCCAGAGAACAGGGGTGCGGGCTACCCACGCAGGTTCCATGGCTGTCAGTGGTCCCCATCCTCCCCCACGTCCCCCAGGCAGCCTTCACTCTGCACAGCCCAAACCCACTGGGCAAAGAATGTTCCTGAAGGGCCAGGCAGGCCTCTCTCTGGAAGATGAAGCTGAGGAGGACAGCCTTAGAGAAGCTAGTGCTGAGTGCCGGCTGTACCCAGGGCTCTACAGGGATTCTGTGCAGTAGCACGCGGGCTGCTGGGACTGTCACCCACGGTACACTCGGCAGGGGTCAGAGGGGGCTGGGGCTCAGAGGCATCTGCTCTGACACCCCTTCCCCGGGTCGCATTCTCCAGGGTGCGCGGAAGGGCAGGGCATTATCGGAGGAAGAAGGCCCTGCCTGATTTTGGTGACTCGCCTGTCCCCAAGCCGTCCACAAGGAGACGGTCAGCTAAGGCTCGCCTCGGGCCCTGGCCTGGCCTGCCCCTTCCAGGGCCTGCCGGGCTGGGGGAGGCACCCCGGTGGGCTGGCCCTCACCCTCGGTGAAGCACTCCTCTGGCTGCTCCCCATCCGGGTTCTCCTCGGCCTGCTCCTCGGGGTCATCCTCTGGGGGCTTGTAGTCGGCAGTGCTGCAGACGGAGGAGTTCCCGTCCAGGGGCTGCAGCGGCTTCTGCGGAGGCCACAGGGTCACGTGACCCCTGGATCCTCCCTCCAGGTGGGGCAGAGGGGGTCTAGCTGGGAGCCCCGAGGGGAGGGCCCAGAAGGGAGAAAGGGAAGTGGGGGTGGGGGAGGTGGAGCAGACTCATTCATTCACAGACTCATTCATTCATTCAGCCCTGGATTGTGGAGCCAGCACCGGGGTCTGTGCAGAAGAACCCAGGCCTTGGCCCTGACCTCGGGGCACTTGGATTTGAAGAGGCCCGAGATGCTGGCTAGGGAGGGAAGGGGTCAGGATGGAGCAAGGTCTGAGCCTTCCTATCCTCTGTTCAACTGAGGAATCCAGGAAGGATGGGGGAATCCAGAAAGGGTTGGGGGGTGCTGGTACTCCAGCCTGGCCAGACCTCCCTCACCTCCTCCTGGCCCAGCCTCTACTCCTCAAGGGCCCCCCTTCATGGCTGGGGTGAGGCCCCTGGAAAGGAAAATGGAGAGGGTGGCGGGGTGGGGGCAAGGGGCAGCTGTCAGAATGGTGGTCAGAAAGGGAGGGCCTGGTGCCCAGTTGACAGAAAGGGAAACTGAGGCACGGGCCATTAGGTTAGGCCAGATGCCCACTGAGCCACTGGCCCTGCCTGTGCCCCTCACCTCCCACCGCCCCTCGGGAGCCCCCTCCAGAGTCCCCAGCGCCTTGGCCCGGCTGCTGTCCGGCCCTCCTCCACCCCCACTCCTCATACCGAGGTTGGTGCCACGTTTCCCGGGGTATTTATAGCTTGGCAGGCGCTCGGCTCCCTGGTAAGTTAGCATGCCACGTATTTGGGGGGAATAAGGAGTCAAGAGCTTTCAGGGCAAAGTTTATTCAGGCTCTGGTGACTGCTGGGCCCACGCTGCCAGGGTGGGGGTGGGCAGGGGGCCCTGCCCTAGCTTACGTGCTGATCCTTCCCCTGATGGAGCTGCAGGGTGGGTGAGGGGCTCAGCCTGAGCTCCTGGGGGCAATCTCTCGCAGGGGAGAGGCGGGGGTAGGCGTCAGGGGTCCAGCTGAGGCTGGGCTCTCCATTTTTCCTTCAGCTCCATCCCACTGGACCACCGGCTCCCTCTTCTCAGCGTCCCCAGCCCAGACCTGGCACTCTGGCCCACGCTGGGAAGTTGGGACCAGGTCCCCCCCACCACCAGTGGGGGTCTACACAGAAATAGATGATAATAGCAAGAACTTGGTAGGGGCTTCTTAAACCTAGGGCAGGGTTAAGAGAGGCCTCTTGGGTTCCAGCCCTGGATTTAGGCGTCTCAGGTGAGAATATGCTATCTCACAGCGCCACCTGCTGATGAGAGGGGACCCAGGCGGCGCTGCGGGCCAGGAGTGCAGGGAAGAGGCGGAGGGTGTTCAGACAGGGGAGCGGGTCATAATAATGGTATTTATAAGTCACCCCTCACAGAGCTGCTCTGCACACAGCATCTCATCTAATGCTCACAGTAACACCACAAGGCAGGTACCATTACCCCACTTTACAGATGGAGAAACTGAGGCTTGGAGAGGCTGTGTGCCATGTTCAAGGTCACACACAAACGCAGAGCTGCGTCTGTATGACTCCCTGCCCCTGGGTCCGGGCCTTGCTACGGGCTTACCTTGACATCCTCAGGCTCGGAGAAGGTGTCGGTTTCCTCCTCTGTGGGCATCTCCAGGTCAGACTCCTCGGAGGCGATGGGCACGTGGATGGTCAGGTAGGGGTTGTTGATAAAGTTGAGGTGGTCCAACTCGATGCTGGGGGGAGGGCCGTCAGCCAGGCCCATGTGGTTCAGGATGTGGTTGTCCTTCTTGAGGTCCCTGCCATCCTCCTCGGGTGGAGGCTCCTTCTTCTCGTCCTCGGGGGCACTCTCCGGAGCCTCGCCGGCCTCCCCAGCCTCGCCGATGCTTCCGAGGCTGAGCATGATGACCTTGGGGCTCAGGACTTTGCCATGGAGCAGCCCCACAAGGAAGGCTTTGGCGAAGCCGATGCCCCACTTGATGCGAGCGATGGCAATCTGCAGGTTGTTCATCTCGCCGTCCTCATCCGAGGCTGCCAGGCTGTCAGCACTGAAGGAGCTGAGCAGCAGGGCCAAGAACAGGTTCAAGACCTGGAGAGCAGGAGGGGAGGGGGAGCCCGAGCTCAGCTGCGGGGCCCTGAGGGTGCCACCTTCAGGCCACGTGAGGGTCCTCGGGCCTCCAAGCCAGACCTACCTCGCGGTGGGCATTAAAGAGGGGCGTCCTCTAAGAGGGGCGTCCTCTAAGACAGGGCGTCCCTGGTGGCTCAGATGGTAAAGAATCTGCCTGCAAGGCGGTAGACCTGGGCTCGATCCCTGGGTCGGGAAGATTCCCTGGAGAAGGGACTGGCTACCCACTCCAACATTCTTGTCTGGAGAATTCCATGGACAGAGGAAGCTGGTGGGCTACAGTCCTTGGAGTTGCAAATGGTTGGACACGACTGAGTGACTAAACAGCAACCGCAGCACCTAACAGAACCCTCAAGACGGCTTGTGGAGCTGAGGAGTGCTACCGTCATGCCCACTTTACAGATAAGGAAACTGAGGCTTGGGCACAAGAGAGGACTCTGCTGACCACGGCGGAGGCAGGGTTTGAGGAGGCCCACTGGGTGACAGGGACTCTTCCATGACTCTGTCCTCCACTTCCACTGCTAGGGGGTGCAGATCAAAAACTAGGGCTCACATCTCCAAGCTTCCAGGACTTATTGGGAGCCTGAAAATTTTGAGCCTTTCTCTTGTCTTGTAAGTGGGACTTTTAACAGTCCATGGGCTCCTGGTACGTGCTCGTGTGTCCTCAGTCATGTCTGACTCTTTTCGACCCCATGGACTGTAGCCAGCCCGATTCCTCTGGCTGTGGGATTCTCCAGGCAAGAATGCTGGACAGGATTGGGTTGCCATTTCCTCCTCCAGGAGATCTTCCTGACCCAGGGATCGAACCCATGTCTCCTGCGTCTCCTACGTTGGCATGTGGATTCTTTACCACTAGTGCCACCTGGAATTCCCAGTACTCAGACATCTGTGTCCCGTTGCTGTGGAAGGACGTCTGATCGACCTCGGCTCACTCCCTTTTCTTCCCCCGGGGTTCCCTGCTCTATTGGAGCTCTTCTCTTATCCCCACTGAAAGGGACGTAAGAGGCTACTGGTCTGCCTCCCTCAGCTTTGTTTTTTGGTAGATATTTACTGAGCCCCTCCCACTATCTGCAGGAATGACAGGCCTCAGTTTGCTCCCAGCCTAGAGACAGACATTTGATCAGGCAAATAAAACGCAGTGGGTTTGCACAAAGTAGAGACTGGGGGTCACAGGCTTTGAAATCATGCGGCTTGGCTTTGAACCCCAGTTCATTAGCTGTGTGTTCTGAGGCAAGTCCTATCGCTGCCTCGTGCCTCTGCCTCCTTATCTGTGCAATGGTGATAGATTCCAGTACCAACCTCCTTGCACTGTTGTTGTGAGGATTGAAAGGTCAATACAGCTAGAGCGCACAGTAGGCATTCAAAATGTGTCGGCTATTATCTGTGCAGTAATAGAAGGTTTTACACAGTAGAAGGAGGAGTGCGATGAACTCTGAGGCCAGCTCTGCATTTTATGAATGAGGAGCCTGAGTTCTCCCAGAGAGGTGGAGTGATTTGCCTGAGGACACACAGCACATTCAGAACTAGAATCCAGGTTTCCTGTCATTGCACAACTTTATGTGTGTGTGTGTGTGTGTGTGTGATCAGTCATAGCCAACTCTTTGCAACCCCAGGGACTGTAGCCCGCCAGGTTCCTCTGTCCATGGTATTTCCCATGCAAAAATACTGGAGTGGGTTGCCATTTCCTACTCCAGGGGACATTCCCGACCCAGAGATTGAACCCAAGTCTCTTGCATCTCCTGCATTGGCAGGTGGATTCTTTACCACTGACACTACCTGGAAAGCCCTGCACACCTTTAGAGGACATTCTTTATTTAGACTACAGTGTGAATGGCCACCCCAGCGGCTGTGCAATGCAGTGGTCTTGTCTTCCACCGACCCACCTCTCAGGACAGTAAGGAGGACGGCGCAGCCTGACTGAGGAGGCGGTGGTCCTGGCTCCTGTCAACCAGAGGCAGGTCTTATTCTGGGGGCCTCAGGGTGGGGCTGAGTGTGTGACTGGACATGAAAGAAGTAGGGTCAACTGCACGACGTCATTTTCTATCGGATTTGAGTATCCCCAGATTTTGGTATCTGCAAGGGGTCTTGGGGCTTCCCTGGTGGCTCAGATGGTAAAGAATCTGCCTGCAGTGCAGGAAACCCAGGTTCGATCCCTGGGTTGGGAAGATCCCCTGGAGAAGGGAATGGCTACCCACCCCAGTATTCTTGCCTGGAAAACTCCATGGACAGAGGAGCCTGGCGAGCTATAGTCCATGTGGTCAACACGACTGAGCAACTAACACACAGGGGGTCTTGGAACCAATTCCCTGAATGACCAGGGGAGGGCCGTACACATGAATCTGTCTAGCTTTCACCAGTGTCCTCTAAGGTCTTGTTGTCATTGTCTTAACTATCATGTTGACATATCTTTAAATACAGGGAGGGAGTTTCAAGAGGGAGGGGATATATGTATACTTAAAGCTGATTCACATTGTCATACGGAAGAAACCAATGCAACATTGTAAAGCAATTATCTTCCAATTAAGAATAAATAAATATGAACTGGAGCAGAAAATTTAAAAAAAAATATATGTATCTATTACGTGTTGTTCGTCTTCTCTCTCTGGGGCAACGTGCTGGGGGATTCGCTCCGTCACCACGCCTTTCGGCTACTGTCCTGCCTTTGCCCCCCCACCACAATGTACTGGTCTTTCTTTCCCTCTCTGGGGGGAGGTGTCCAGTTGCCAGAAACACATCTGAGATGGGAATTAGCTGCTCTCTGGGTCACCAGGGTTTGCACACGGCTCCTGCCTGGGACAGAAATAGCCGCCCCAGGCAAGGCATGGGGGGTGGGTTAAATTAGGGAAGGGGAATGGACATTAGGTTCCCCAGGGGTGGGCTCCAACGGGTGGGTTCCCTATGACTTGGTCATTTCCTCTTCTTCACTCCCAAGGAAGTACTTGAGTGCCATGGACACTGGGGACCTGGGTCCCCACCCTCCCTGGCAGGGCGCCCCGTGCCCTCTGGCAGACACTTGCTTCCATGAGGCCTGGGAGGGTGGTAGGCGGGGCCAGTGCCCAAGGAGCTGGCAGCGTGCCTCCCCGGTCCGCTCCGCTCCCTTTGAGCAAAGTGGGAGAGCTGCAGAGCTGGGCCTGGGAAGGGCGTCAGCGTGTGTGTGTGTGTGTGTGTGTGTGTGTGTGTGTGTGTGTGTGTGTGGTGGGAGGCGTGGGGGCACACACAGAGGCAGTGTCATGCGGTGCTTCTGCATTCTGGGACCTGACTGCTTGGGTTCAAATCCTGCACAGGTTTCTAAGGAACTCCCCTGGGCCTCTGCTTTCTTGTCTGCAAAACAGAGATAAGACAGCACATCCCTGGGGCCTCCCTGGTGTTCCAATGGTTAAGACTCTGAGCTCCCATTGCAGGGGGGCCTGGGTTCAGTCCCTGGTTAGGGAACTAGGTCCCACATGATGCAACTAAGAGTTCACATGCCACAGCTAAAGATCACGAATGCCTCAAGGAAGATGAAAGATCCTGTGTGTCGCTACTGGGGCCTGACACAGACAATTAAAATTAAATATTATTAGAAGTTAAATATTTTAATATTAAAAACAAAACAAAATCCAGCACGTACCACATGGAGGCTGGTGAGCATTAAGAGATCAACACCCCAGGGGACTACTCTGGTGGCTCAGTGGTAAAGAATCCACCTCCCAGAGCAGAAGACACAGGTTCAATCCCTGATCCGGGAAGATCCCACATGTCTCAGAGGGACTAAGCCCAAGAACCACAACTATTGAGCTCCGGCTCTGGAGCCCGGGGCTCGCAGTAACTAGAGAAAAGCCCTCAGAGCAACGAAGACCCAGCAAAGACAAAAATAAATAAATAAGTACAATTTTTAGAAAAGAGATTAATACCTGGAAAGTGCTCAGAATGCTGTATGCGCATTAATAGGGGTCGGTTGTCACCACTCACTCTGATGCTAACTCGTGAGTATCACGAATGATGATACTGACGCTATTGTTGTGGGAAGGACACAGACTCAGTTTCTAGTCCAGGCTCAGTTTCACACTAGCCGTGTGGTTCTGGGCTGTGCCTCCAGAGAGCACAGAGCCAACATTACCTGCCTCACGGGGTTGTCCAGAGCATTAGGGATAATACACGTAAAGCCCCTGGCGCAGGAATGGCAGATGGCAGGAGCCCAATGCCTGGCGTGTGACGCCAGTTGGGGCCGGGTGTGGAATCCACCAACTCCCTGGCTGCCTGTAGGTTTTGAACTCCCCTGGTCTCCTGGGCCAAGCACTTTGCTGAGCACTTCGACGTGTGCCATGTATCTTTCCGACCACCCAACAGAGGAGTCACTCCCCCCCTCATCCCCATTTTCCAGATGAGAAAAACTGAGGCCAGAGAGAGAGTGTAAATAACTTGCTCAAAGTTTCCCAGTCAGAAAGTGGCAAAGTAGGGGCCTGAAATGTTTTTGAGTTTACACGCACACAGAAACCACTGCGACCCTTATAGTCGCTCCCAGGCCCCTTAAACTAGCCCTTACAGCCTACTCAGAGCCTGCAACCCCCCTATCACAAATCCTGCCCCAAAGTCCTGCGGAGGCATCTCCTTTACGCTTCCCGCTCCCTAAGACCCCCTCCCAGAAGCAGTCGGCCTGGGTTCTGCTGTCTGGCTGTCCCCGGGGGCTCGGACCCCATCCCACCGTCCCTTCCTCAGTCGCGGTGACGGTGACTCCCCCGGCCGCCGATCCGCCCCTGCCCCCTGCGGAGCTCAGCGTTATCTGAGAAGCGCTGACGGAGCAGCTCAAGGATTCCACCGGCCTTTGCGGAACGTGGGGACGTGCGTCTTCCGACCCGCTGTTGCCCGGGGTAGCGTCGCCCCCGCCCCGGGCGGCCCGGCACAGGTCTCCTGGTAGGAGTGACCCCTCCCGGAGGAGCAGGGTCGGCGGGGTGAGGAGAGACGCCCCCCTCCGCCCGGCTGCAGAAATTCTGGTCAGCTGGACCACGACCTCACATCCCATTTCTCCAGGGCCCCTGCACCTCCTTCCCTCCTTCAGCGCCCCACCCAGAAAGTGGCAGGATAGATGCAGTTCAGGGCATCTCCGCATCCTCCCAACACCCGGGGCCTGTTTCCCAGGAGCAGAGGGTGAGAGGGGAGGAGAACAGAAGGGCCAGGAGTTCCTGGTACCAACCCCACACTGTGCCTTCTTCCCCCAGGGGCAATCCTCCCGGCCACCCGCTGAGGCAGGGGTCCCCAACCTCTGCGATTGAATGCCTGATGATCTCAGGGGGAGCTGATGTAATAATAATAATAATAGAAATAAAGTGTTAAATGTTAGTGGCTCAGTCGTGTCTGGTGCTTTGCAACCCCATAGACTGTAGCCCGCCAGGCTCCGGCTCCTCTGTTCGTGAAATTCTCCAGGAAAGAATACTGGAGTGGGTAGCCATTCCCTTCTCCAGGGGATCTTCCTGACCCAGGGATTGAACCTGTGTCTCCTGCATTGCAGATGGATTCTTTACCATCTGAACCACCAGAAATAAAATGCACAATAAATGCAGTGTGCTTGAATCACTCCAAAACCATCCCCCACCCCACGCTAGTCCGTGGAAAAATTATCTTCCTTGAAACCCGTCCCTGCTGCCAGAAAGGTTGGGCCCTGCTGCCCTGAGGGGTCTACCATTTTTCTTTCATGTGGAGTTAGAGAACCCAGCCGACCAGAGAGCAGTGATTCGTTCAAGGTCACACAGATGGCAAAGGAGCTGGGACTGGAACGCGGGTCAGCCTGACTCCAGCTATCCTGTCACTTTACCCAAAACACTAGGTCTCGGCGACTTGCACTGTGGTCCCTGGACCAGTGGCAGTGACATCACCCAAAGCTCATTAGAAATGCAGGTTTGGGGGGCCTGGCTCCGAGCTGCCTCACCTGACTCTGGGGGGCTGGGACTGGGAATCTAGGTTTCAAGAAACTCACAAAAAGTTTTGAAGCAGGTTAAAATTTGAGAGCCACTGGGTTAAACCATACAAAACTGCCATCTAGGGTCAGGGGAGGAATAAAACAATCACATATCAATGATTTTAAATGACACAGTTTCATAGGAAAAGAACCCTTCAACAGTCTGATTTAAGGGAAATAAAGGCATGGATGGGCTTCCCTGGTGGCTCAGTGGTAAAAAAAACCCACCTGCCAAGGCAGGATTTTATCCCTGGGTCAGGAAGATCCCCTAGAGAAGGAAATAGTAACCCACTCCAGTATTCTTGCCTGGGAAATCCCACTGACAGAGGAACCTGGTGGGCTACAGTCCATAGGGTCGCAAAAGAGTCAGACACAAATTAGCAACTAAACAACAACAACAAAGGCATGGATATGCCTTGGACACTTGGATTTTCTGGGCAAAGGTGTGGAGCCACCCAGTCAGCCTCACTCACCACCAGGTTGCCGATGACCATGACCATGAGGAAGACAGTGAGGCACATGGCCTGACCAGCCACCTCCATGCAGTCCCACATAGTCTCGATCCACTCCCCGCAGAGGATGCGGAAGACGATGAGGAAGGAGTGGAAGAAGTCGTGCATGTGCCAGCGGGGCAGGCTGCAGTCCGCGGCGATCTTGCACACGCACTCCTTGTAGCTTTTGCCAAACAGCTGCATGCCCACCACGGCGAAGATGAACACAATGATGGCCAGCACCAGCGTCAGGTTGCCCAGCGCCCCCACCGAGTTGCCGATGATCTTGATGAGCATGTTCAGTGTCGGCCATGACTTGGCCAGCTTGAAGACCCTCAGCTGCCGGGCAGGGGGAATGCAGGGGTTGGTGAGACTCGGGGACCCCTGGCCCAACCTCGAGGCAGCCACAACCAGGGATTGAACCCAGACCCTCAGCACTGAGAGCGCAGAGTCCTACCCACTGGACCACCAGGGCTTTCCCAGAAAGAACTCTTTTGAACAGCTCCAGCTCCTACCCCCTGAGGGATATGGGGCCTCAGTTTACCTCTCTGTTAAATGGGAATGCTCACATCCTACCACCTCATCCTCTTCAAATGATCAAAAGAAAGTATCCTCATCTCTTACATATACAGGCTAAAACATTTGCAAGTGAAATAAAATCTCAGGATTTGCTTTAAGATACTCCCCCATAAAAAGTACAGGATGTTGATGGCTGTTGGAGCCAGGTGAAAGGTATACAGAGGTGTATCTTACTTTCTCTATATTTTTGTGGATGCGTGAAATGTCCCTACGAGGTGGAGAAAAGGATGCTAATTCAGAGTCCCAATCCCACTACTGACGAACTTCCTGAGCCTCAGCTTTCAGGTCTGCAATATGGGCTGAAGTCCCCACCCCCACTGCCCCCCAAGTTCACTTAGGAGTGAAGCCCAAATGGCAGTTCCTGGGCTGTCATTGTGGTCTCCCAGCACCCCTGTGTGATAGGGGGAGGGCGCCTTTCTCCCTTTTGCCAGTAAGAAAGGTTCTGAGAGGCAGAGGGGTCCACACTAGGGCAGAGGGGCCTCCCTTCCCGCCCTCTAACTTCTTGGGGGTTTATACTTGTGTCCTCCGAGCATCCACAGCCCACCCTCCCTCAGCCCGGGTCCTGGGGCCTTACGCACCAGCCGGAAGGAGCGGAGAACCGAGAGCCCCTGCACGTTGGCCAGGCCCAGCTCCACCAGGCTGAGGGTGACGATGATACTGTCAAAGATGTTCCAGCCCTGCTGGAAGTACTCGTAGGGGTCCATGGCAATGAGCTTCAGCACCATCTCAGCCGTGAAGATGCCCGTGAAGACCTGCAGGGGTGGGGTGTGCGGAGCCTCAGGGGCACAGGGCCTCCGGGGTCTCCCACCCCACTCTTCAACCTCCGGGCAGAGCCCTCGAGGCCAGAGGAGAGGGTGACAGAGCCCCGAGGGGGCGGGCAGAGGTACCCATGGCCCGCAGGTGTGTGTGAGTGAATGAGGAGCTGAACAGCCATCCCACCGGGCAGAGTGGGTACCGCTCAGGGACCGGGGCCCATCTCTTCCTGGCCTTGTGACGGTGGGCCTGTCACTTGACTTCCTGGAGTCTCAACCCACTCGTGATAATGTTCGACACTCGTAGAGCATTCTGTGTTTCACATTGTGGCCTCATCAGTATCTTGATCTCCACGAAGCTGGGAAGGCTGATCACCACATTCATCCCAGAGAAGAGAGACTGAGGCTCTGAGAAGTCAGCGGCAAGCTCTCGGTCACGCTGCCCATATGGGGTCAGGTCTCAAACCCAGGTCTTGGGGTACTTAGCTCAGTTTCTTGTCTCTATACCCTACAGCCTCTCTAACCTTGTTGGCAGGGGTGGGGCGGGGTTGGGGGTCCCAGGACCCATAAATCTTGGTGGATTCGGAAATCTGGTGGGGGGGTGGTTTCAGACAGGAGGTAAAGTTGAGGATGAGTGAGAACCAGAGCTGATCTCCCACAATCCTGGACTTGTCTGAGGGCTTCAGAGCCCCTGAAAGCTCCCTGGGCACGGCCCCCACCCTCCTGGCAGGCACCAGCTGCCCCGGGGCCACAGCCTGCCCGGGCACATGCTGTGCCCCGCCCAGGAGCTGTCCCTAACCATAGCAGGTGCCCAGACGGCAGCAGAGTGTGGGCAGGGGGTGGGCAGGCAGCGGGCCGGGCCCATCATGCACACCCCAGCAGCTGTGCGGCGAGTCTAGAGCCCGCCCTTGCCCCTCCAGCCCAGTCTGGCCACGGCTGCCTCGGGCATCTCCGTGGGGTAGATGTGCCTGCCTCTTGGGCTGGGGGAGTCCAGGGTCTGATTCCCGGGCCACCCACCCCAGCCTCGTCCTGTTCCTGGGCTCCCCTCACCCTCAGGGTGGGGGAAGCATCTAGCCCATTGGCCACCCTGGACAGATTGAGAAGGGAATTGGGAAAGGTGGGGCCGGGCTGGAGGAGGAGGCGGCGGCTTTTTCCCTTTGTCAGGCTCCACCGGGGCTGGCAACGAGGTGATAATGCTCCTAATGGGCAGGGATAAGCAGGCGGATCAGTGTGTGTCAACAATAGTGGAGCAGAAAGGGCTGAGAGGGGAGCTGGCCTGGTCCTGCTGGAGAAATGGAGCGGGCAGGGGGCCTCAGGGCTGGGGGACGATGCCCTGGGGCCTTCAGGGTGAGCTGGGGCCTCTTGGGCCTGGGTGCCCATGGCTCTACACCCTATCTTCTGGGTCCCTTGGTCTTAGGCCCCCGGGCTAAGTCACTTCAGTCATGGCCTACTCTTTGCGACCCTGTGGACCACAGCCTGCCAGCCTCCGCTGTCCGTGGGATTCTCCCGGCAAGAACCCTGGAGTGGGTTGCCATGCCCTTCTCCAGGGGCCCACAACAACTTCTGACAGTGGAGAGACTTGGCATCCAGCACTTCACTCCCCACCCCCAAGCTCCCACTCCCCCACCTCTGCCTCCAGGGTATGACCTGGACTCCAGAGCCTCTAGAGTCCTGATTTTAAGAAGCCAAGTACTTCATCCCCACTCTCTCTGCCCCCAAATACCCCGAAGCCCAAATTCCATGGATCTCCCATGTACCTCCCCTGGTACATCAACTCATGTCCCTGTGTACCTATATGCTAGGAAAATAACCCCAGCCTGTCTCTTTATGCCCCCTAATCATGCCCCTCATTCCCACACAGCCCGTGGGCCCTGTGGCCCCTCTCCTGTCCTGCCTCCCTTGTCCCCCCCGTACCAGGTTGCCCACATTGAGCACACTGTCAAAGTGTTCTGTCATCGGGTAATGCTCCATGGCCATGAAGAGGGTGTTGAGCACGATGCAGATGGTGATGCCCAGGTCCACGAACGGGTCCATGACGATCAGGTGGATGATCTTCTTGAACTTCACCCACGGGGTGCAGCAGTTCCATATGAGCACTTTATGGGAACATTTGTACCACCACGGTGGGCATTTCTGGTGGGCCTCTTCCAGCTCTGAAAACAGACAGCAGATGAGGATCCACCCCCTCACCTGCTCCTTCCTCCACCTCCAACTTTGAGCCCACCTTCCAAGCCCCGCCCCTCAGAGCGCCACACCTCAAGCCCCGCCCTCTCGGGGAGGTTCCCCCCAAGCCCCGCCTCTCAGTGGGTCACCCTCAAGACCCACCCCAGACCCCGCCCACACGGCCCCACCCTCAATGCTCCATGCCCGCAATGACCAGTCCCTTGAAACTGAAGGTGTTAGTTGCTCAGTAGCATCCGACTCTTGGACTGTAGACGGCCAGGCTCCTCTTGTCCATGGAATTTCCCAGGCAAGAAGACAGGAGTGGGTTGCCAAGTCTCCTTATCCAGGGGACTTTCCCGACCCAAGGATGGAACCCAGGTCTCCTGCATCGCAGGCAGATTCTTTACTGTCTGAGGCACCAGGGAAACCCCATAAAGAGCCATGCCCTTAGAAGCCTTACCCCAGATCCCTTCTCCCAATGCTCTACTTCAGCTCCACCTTTTCAGTACACAATCCCCCTATGCAGTAGGGTGACTTCCATCCACTACCTATGGCCCAGGCCTGCGATCCTGGCTGGGGAGGGGCCCGAGGGCCTCAGGGAGAGGCGGGAGGCCACTGCAGAAGGCTGGGTCTCATTTCCAACTGTTGCTGGCCAGAGCCTCTTAGGAAAAGACCAAGTCCTCCCTGGGGCCTCTGCCTCGCAGTGCTGCTGGCTCCTCCAGACCAGACCCTGCCAGTACTTCCCCACCAGGGTAGCTTCCTGGAAACACGCCCTGTTCCTGCCCCTCCAGCTCTAACCCCTGGGGCTCTGTCAGGACCATGGATATGCTACGTCTCCCCCAGGTCTTCCAGGCCTCTGGTGCCCATGGGAGTTCCTAGCCAGGGCCCGCTCTCATTTAATCCACCAAAAATGTATGAGGTAACTATATTAGTGCCTCCACGTCATAGATGAGGAAAGGGAACTGGAGTCAGGGGCTGTCCCATAGATATGTGGGTTTGAGGGCCTGAATGGGACACCCTAGGGAGGGAATGACTGAGCCTCTCCCCATCCAGCAATTAGTAAACCGGATCTCTCAAAGGCTGCAGGTTGACAGTAACACCCCCACTCCCAACCCAGGTGTTACTGCAGGTGCCTCAAACTGTGTCTGAGGGCCCAAACTTTCCAAAGTGGTCCCAGCAAGGGCAATGTTGAGTGACCTCCTTGGCTGGCTCTGCCCAGCATCCCCTGGGGTGTTCTCTGTCAGGGCACAGATATCTGGATGCCCTTCAGGCAAGGTCAGCTGGGATAGAGGTTTGCAAAGTCTTCCAAGTCCTTCCTGCCAAAAGGCAAGACACCTGGGGTGGGGACCCGATCCTTCTGATGTCAGATTTCCCTGCATCTTCCTTTCCTGCATCATTTCCTCCTCCTCCCTCCCTCTCATCCATCCACACACCTGTGTTTCTTCCCATTCATTAATCTTTCAGCCCACCCACCCATCCATCAAACCATCTGTCCATCCATCCACCCATGCATCCATCCATCCATTCACCTACTCATCCACTCACTCATCCATCCACTCACCCATCCATCCACCCACCTACCCACCATCCATCCATCCATCCTTCCAACCATCCATCCATCCATCCATTCATCCATGTGTATGTCTACTTACCTCTCCTTGTTACCTTAACCTAGTCTCCTGAGGCCTGGGGGGCAGCATGGGGTTTTTTGGGGGGTCTGTGGCTCTCTCTGGGCAGAGTTTGACTTTGACCTTTCGCTTTTACCCAGAAGATATTTGTGGAACAGGATCTCCAGTTTCCGGAACATTGGGCCTTCCTGGTTAGTATTCTTATCCTGTCCTTTCCCATTGCCTTGGCAGCCCACAAGGCCTCCCGGAAGCCCCCAGTTCCCGCTGCAGCCTGGTCTTGTGGCCAGAATTGGGCCAGGTTAAGCCAAGACTATATTTATCACGGCCATTTCTTCGACGCCAATATTAAGTTACTGTCCTGAAGTTGGGCCCAGCCAGGCCCTCCCTGCCCCCACCCCAGGAGCCCGAGTGGCCCGATGGGCAGGATGGGTCTGGGGATGCCAGACACTCACCTTCCATGGCATCGGAAATGCCACTGTCTGTGCCACAGCTTGGCCTTGGAGGCCCCTTCTCCCCTGCCGATGTGTCCAGGCTGCCATTGCAGTCTTTGCTGTGTGCTGGGTCCCCGTCCACCTCCCCACCTTCCAGAGCCTGGGCAGCCTTGGCCTGTGGACCAGCAAGGGTAATGGACATAAAGTCCATTACCAAGCCATGGGAATGGACTCTCAGAGCTTCTTCCTGAGTCCTTCAGGCTGGGGACCCCTCTTTTTGGCCTGCATCCAGTCTACTGCAATAGGGGTAGTTGGCGGTGGGGTGACAGGGTAGGGACCAAAGTGACTGAGGATCCTCATCCCTGAAGACCCTTCTCTGAAGCCTTGGCTGGCCCTGCACTTCATGAGATGATTGCTGAATGCACAGCTGCTCCCTGAGGCCTCATCAACACCCACCTTCCCTCAGCCTGGACCCAGACACTGCCCATAAAAAAATCATAAAGCCATAGGTATTTGAGCTGGAAGGCTACTTCAGGTTCAACTATTCCAGATTCCTGGTTATGTATGGGGAAACTGAGGCACTGAGCTACAAAATACTCTTTCTACTGCCTGGGTGCCTCCCACCCCGCCAAACCTCCAACCTGAGCCTTCTGCTCCCCATCCCCTGTCTCGCAGTCCCCGCCCCTCACCTCCCCCTGCCTCTCAGCCTGCCCAGGGTACCCAGGCTGAGGGGCGGGGGGACCCCTGGATCTTCCCCCCTCCTCCCCGAGTCCAGACCTTCTCCAGCTCCTCCTGCTGTTTTTTGAATTTCTCCAGCATCTGCTGAAACTCCTCTTCTTTCTCCTGATCTTCGGCCAGGGTGGCCTCGTTCTGCTCAGCATAGGCCATGGCCACCACGGCCAGGATCAGGTTGATGAGGTAGAAGGAGCCCAGGAAAATGATGACCACGAAAAAGATCATGTAGGTCTTGCCGGCTGCTCGAAGGGTCTGGGAGTGAGGGAGGGGGAGGAAGTGTCACGTGGCACCCTGCCTGCTTTCACCCAGGGCCCCCCTCCATACAACCATTGCCCAGAGAGGCAGACAGGAAGGATCCCTCACAGAGCCTGGAAGTTTGAGGGCTTTTGAGGCAAGGTATGGCTTCCCAGGTGGCACCAGTGGTAAAGAACCTGCCTGCCAATGCAGGAGACATGAGAGATGTGGGTTCGATCCCTGAGTCAGGAAGATCCCCTGGAGGTGGAAATGACAACTCACTCCAGTATTCTTGCCTGGAGAATCCCATGGACAGAGGATCCCGGAGGGCACAGCCCATGGAGTCGCAAAAAGTCGGACACAACGGAAGTGACTTAGCACGCACGCACATAGATAATTATGTCATCTGCAAATAGAGACAGCTTTCTATCTTCTTCTATGGCCATCCTTGACAGGTTAAACTACATTCTGGGGCATTTAAAAAATATGAACTTGGAACCCAGACCTTCCTGGGCTCCTGACTCAGAGATCCCTGAGGACCCCAGCCAGACATCTTGAGATCAGAGACCCAGGATAAAAACTGGTGAATGTAGGCTTTGGGGTCAGCTTGAATCCTACCCATGATGCCTGGCACTAGTAACAGCTCAGCAAATAGAAGCTATTATTGTTATCGTTATTACTGTTGTTTATTTATTTTTGGCTGTGCTGGGTCTTCGTTGGTGCACACCGGCTTTCTCTAGTTGTGAAGAGCTGCAGTTACACTAGCTCCAATGCACAGGCTTCTCATCATGGTGGCTCCTCGTGTCTCAGAGCGTGGGCTCTGGAGCATGGGGTCAGAAGTCATGGTTCAGGGGCTTGGTTGCCCCATGGCTTGTGGAATCTTCCTGGACCAGGGATCAAACCCATGTCCCCTGCATGGGCAGGTGGACTCACTTTCTTCTTTTTTTGACTATTTATTTATTTGGCTGTGCCAGGTCTTAGTTGTGGCTTTTTTTCTTTTACTTTAAAAATTTTATTCATTTTTCATTGAAGGATGATTGCTTTACAGTATTATGTTGATTTCTGCCATACATCAACATGAATCAGCCACAGGTGTACATAGCAGGCAGATTCTTAACCACTGGACCACCAGGGAAGTCCCATTACTATTATTATTAACATGGTCAGTGTGAGAAACATCACCAGGGACTGGAAGGCACTGTTCTCCAGACTCAACTTGCCCACCTGCAAACGGTGGAAGGTAAATAATTCTGGGCAGAGCTGGCGTCTAAACGACCTTACTGGTTACTGTGAGGAGGCCTAGGAGTCTGTGCTGAGCTCAGATCTCAGCTCCTGAGCAAATGAGGAAAAGGAAGAAAAGGCTGGGGCTCAGATCTGGGCAGGAACCGAATGTCAGAGGTGCCAATAACCCATATATAGGGCCACTGAGGGGGTCCCTTGGAAGGGATGGCTTTGGTCAGGGTCCTGCCAAGCCCCAAGGAGGCCGTGGAGATGGAGGGAGGTAGGGCTGTGGGGCTGAGGGGCAGGGCAGGGCAGAGGGCCGCTGTACCAGCTGGAAGAGGTTCTCCCAATAGTCCTGTGTCATGAGGCGAAAGAGAGCCAGGAAGGCCCAGCTGAAGGTGTCATAGCTGGTGTAGCCGTAGTTGGGGTTCCGCCCAGCCTTGATGCACTCGTAACCCTCAGGGCAATGCCTGCGGACAGGATGAGGACTGGTTTTAGGGAGAAAAGAGAGCTCCAGCTAGGGGCCACATGGGGGGCACTCCGAGAAAAAAAAAACATCCTTTAGTCTTGTCTGCATCCTGAAAACACGTGCATGCTCACGAGTTGTCTTTACACCTCCATTTACCCCAGGTTCTCATCCCCAGTCATCCCCAATCTTCTGACAACCCTGGGGCCACTTTTTCCCATTCACCCCCCACCCCTCCCAGGTGTCACTCACCCAGCATCGCTGCTGTTCCCACAGAGCAGGGCGTCATTGGAGCCCTCCAGGAAATAGAAGTTCCCTTTGGGAGTCAGAGGTCACAAAGGAAACATGTCACTGCATGGACACTGTGGGCACAGTACCCATCGCACACCTGTGGACACATCTGTGTGGACCACAGGCACCAGTACGTGGATGCTCTCGGGGCGCCCCTTCCCTCTCCTCTTTTTTAAAAAATTAATTTTTATTGGAGTATAGTTGCTTTAGTTGTGTTAGCTTCCACTGTACAGCAAAATGAATCAGCCACACACACACACACACATATATCCATTGCCACATGTATACTCCATATATACATGGAGTCCCTTTGGGACTTCTTTCGAAGTCAGGTCACCAAGTGCATTACGTAGCATTCCCTGTGTTATATGGGCTTCCCTTCTGGCTCAGCTGGTTAAAAGCCTGCCTGCAATTCAGGAGACCTAGGTTCGATCCCTGGGTTGGGAAGATCCCCTGGAGAAGGGAAAGGCTACCCACTCCAGTATTCTGGCCTGGAGAATTCCAAAGGGATCTCAAAGAGTCAGACACGACTGAGCGACTTTTTCACCTGAGCGATACAGTATGTTCTCATTAGCTATCTATTTTCTTCCTTCTCCTTTAAGGGCAGCTCCAAGTCCTAAGCTCTCTGGGTAGATACATTTTACTGTCATACTGCCTTGTATGGGGTGTGGTGGGGGTACAGAGGGAGACGGGGGGACATGTATGTGTGTGCCTGGGGCTAGCACGTACCTGAGCAGGACCCCCAATGGAGGGGTGAGTGGGGGGCTAGAATCCAGGATGCCAGGTTGAAGAAGGTGGCATTTCTAAGCTGGCGTTTCCATGTCCATTTTCTAAGCTGCCATGAGGAACCGTGTGGACTAGTGGTTTCATGAGAACGCTGTCTTGTGTGTATGCACTTGTGAAGTCTGGGTGTGTGAACAGGATGTGGGTGCCTGCTGCTGGCCCTGCCAGGACGATGGAGAACAAGGAGCCCGCACACAGGGACTGTTGCTTTTCCTAGCAAAAGCTGTAGGATTTTCCAAACAATTTGGTGTTTGCTGTTACGTAAACCCTTTGAGAGGGTAACCGTTGTTTAGTTGCCAAGTTCGGTTTGACTCTTTTGCAACCCCATGGATTGTAGCCCACCAGGCTCCTCTGTCCATGGGATTTCCCAGGCAAGAATACTGGAGTGGGTCGTCATTTCCTTCTCCAGGGGTCTTCCCGACCCAGGGATCGAACCCAGGTCTACTGCATTGGCAGGTAGGTTCTTAACCACTGAGCCACCAGGGAAGCTTGGGAGAAGTATTGTAGTCTTTATTTTATAGGCAAAGATTCTGAGGGTCAGGAAGGTGAAATGGCTTGTCAGAGGTTACCCAAGCTGTTAAGTGATGGGTTTACACTCAGGTCTTCCCCATGATCTTTGTAAAAAAAAAAAATTATTTATGTATTTGGTCACACAGGGTCTCAGCACATGGGACCTTCATTGCAACATGCTGGATTTTTAGTTGCAGCATGAGAACTCGTGGGATCTAGTTCCCCCAACCAGGGATCAAATCTGGGCCCCTTGCATTGGGAGCATGGAGTCTTAGCCACTGGACCAACTGGGAAGTCCCTTCCTCATGTTCTTTATCTCACACAAGGGGCTGCCAATGGGGCTAGGAAGGACCCCACTGGCCTCCCCACCCTCCCTTCTTACCTTCATCATTGATGTAGGCATCCCAGTCAAAGGTATAGTTGCTGGCCCAGCTCTCCTGGCCGTTCCAGGTGTTGTTGCTGTCCCAGGTGTCGTTGCCGTACCACGTGCTGTTGGTGTCATTGAAGGGCGGGGGCCAGCGCACACACTTCTGCCGCAGGTTTCCCATGAAGAGTTGCAGCCCCACCAGGGCAAAGACGCTCAGGCAGAAGACGGTGAGGATCATCACGTCCGAGAGCTTTTTCACCGACTGGATCAGGGCCCCCACGATGGTCTTCAGCCCTGATCACAGACAGCAGGAGAGCGTGGCAGGGGGTAACTCGCGGACTCAGCCCCTCCGAGCCTCTGCCTGCTCCATCTCCTTCCAGCCTTGGCTTACTTGGGGCGCTACTTCCCTGAAGCCTTCCCAAATTAGCCCCATCCATCTCTGATTACAGCCTCCATCTCGAGCCTTCCAGTGGCCACCGAATCTCAGCCACTAGAAGAATGGACTATGAAGACTACTGGGTGTTGCCTAACTCAGGAGAGCAACAACACGCAGGCACACAGTGTAACTTAATAAATGTCACTAAGTCAGGACTCCCAAAGTGTTCATAGAATGCTAATCTCACAAGCTGCGCCCTTCACAAAAGGGGTTCAATCATGTTTGGGAAAGGCTGAACTCTGCAGCACTTCCATAGCTGCTCAGTAGTAAAGAATCCGCCTGTCAATGCAGGAGATGCAGGTTCAATCCCTGGGTCAGGAAGATCCCCTTGGGGAGGGCATGGCAGCCACTCTAGTATTCTTGCCTGGAGAATCCCATGGATAGAGGAGGCTGGTAGGCTACATACAGTCCATAGGGTCGCAAAGAGTCAGATACCACTTAGCGACTCAACAACAACAACTAACCCTGTGGTACCCTTCTGGAGGGTCCTTATGTAGATTATCCTATCAGAGGCTCGGAAAAGTTCTACAGAAACAAAAGCTTTTTAATACCATGTTTCAGCGTATTTGACACAGAACCCTTTCTCTTTTAGCCTGTTCACACCCAAGGAACAGCAGGGTTCACTCTGAGAAGCTCTAGGCTGACTTTGCAATATCGTTGCATTCTGCCCCTTGGAACTGGCAAAGGCATAGCCAGATTGTATGGAATTTCAGGCTCAGGTTCCATCATTTATGGGAGAACCATAACTTCTTCCTTGGGCCTAATCAGGGTGTCTCTCACTTCAATATTTGTTTATTTTCTTTTCTTATCCTGGTATGAAGACAGATGCTCAGCAGCTTCAATCATAAGAGCCTTACGAGCTCTGAGGACGCTGGAAGCGTGGCACGGAGGGCAGGTATTGTGGCCTTGACTTAGTGGCTAACATGCCGTGTTGCCTTCAGTAACGTCTCCTCTCCGGGGGTCCCTCCTTCCTCAACTGCAATTCACAAAGGCTCTGGACTAGAGAAAACTAAGGTAATTCCTAGCACTAAGAAGTAACAAATTCCCTGTCTCCCAGAGCCTGTTCTCCATGCCTTTCAGATCATCTTTCTCTCCTTTTGGAGAAGGGAATGGCAACCCACTCCAGTATTCTTGCCTAGGGAATCCCATGGACAGATGAGCCTGGCGGGCTACAGTCCATGGGGTTACAAAGAGTTGGACATGATTGAGTGACTACACTTCGCTCCTTTAATGAACCTTCTCCAGTTTCTTCACATGCTTTTTGAGGGTCTGGATGATCCAGATTCTATTTATTTCATGCATCTCGATGCATTACTTTGGAACTGCCCTGGCCTCACGGCTCAGCGGGGATGTGGTGTGTTCATTAGGGTGTGGACTTTCCATCACTGAGTCCCTCTGTGTCTCTCAGGTGCAGTGCCCTGCTCTGCCCAGTCTGTTATTTCATTTAAAACATGAACGCTATGCCAGGGCTTCCCTGGTAGCTTAGTTGGTAAAGAATTCCCTGCAACGCGGGAGACTCAGGTTTGATCCTGGGGTGCGGAAGATCCCCTGGAGAAGGAAATGGCAACCCACTCCAGTATTCTTGCCTGGAGAATCCCATGGACAGAGAAGCCTGGTGGGCTACAGTCCATGGGGCTGCCAAGAGTCAGACACGACTTAGGGACTAAATCACCACCACCGCCTCCCAGTGCCAGGCATGGCTCGAAGCACCTTATTGCTATCAAGGCTTTGAAGTCTCATAATAACTGAGTGAGCAGTACTGTCATTAGTCACAGTTTACAGATATGGAAACTGAAGCAGACAGGGTAACCGTTTAACCAAGGTCAAAGTCAGGAAGTGACAGAGATGGGAGTTGAACCCAGGCAGTCTGGCTCCAGAGTCTGTGCTCTAACCACCTTGCTATGCTGCCTCTCAAAGCCCACCCTCCCACTTGGGGCCCCTTCTCCCTGTAGACACATAGGACCCCCCACTCTGTGTCCATGCTTCGAAGTAGGTGCTACGCCACCTGGGAGGGTTATGACCCTGGGTCAGGCTCCCAGAACTTGAGTGCCCCCTTCCAGGCCTGGGCGAGGGGGCAGGCCGGCTGGCCCAGGCAGAGGGCCCATGCACCTCCCCTGTACCTGGGATGACCGTGATGGTTTTCAGGGCCCGCAGCACCCGGAAGGTTCTCAGCGCTGAGATGTTGCCCAAGTCCACAAATTCCGTCAGGTACCTGGGTGGGGGGTGGGGGTGAGGGCTGTGTCAGAGCCAAGGGGCAGGTAATGGGGCAGAATGAGGCCCAGAACGAGGATTCCCAAGGAATCCTTGTATTTGGGGTTACTGTGGAGATGCAGGGGACAGGTCAGGGACTGCAGGCTCCTGTCGGGGCCTGAGAGGTGGGAAAGAGTGCAGGGGCTTTGCTGAGGAGTGGGGAGGTGGCAAGGGTGGCCCAGCTCTCCCCGTGGGTGGGGGCCTGGGGGCCAGGGTCGTATGTGCTGTGTGGAGGGGCACCCGGACGGACAGTCTCCAGGTCAGACCCCGAGAGTGACAACTCCTGGAAAGGTGCAGCCCACTGTCTGCACGTCGGACCACAGCCCTACAGCTCAGCCTCGGAGGGTCACCCAGCTCACTCAGCTGCCCTCTCTGAGGCCTGGCTCCCCTCCCCTCCCTCGCATCAGCCTCCAGACGCCCCCAGGGGCCCCTGCTCACGCCATCATGATGACGCTGAAGTCCAGCCAGTTCCAGGGATCCCGGAGGAATGTGAAGTCATCGATGCAGAAACCTCGGGCCAGGATCTTGATGAGGGACTCGAAGGTGTAGATCCCTGTGAAGGTGTACCTGGCGGGGAGAGGGCGGGCCAGGGCCAGGCATGTCACACCTGGGCCAGGATGTGGGTGGCAGAGGCGGGCCTCCTGGGAGGGAGGGCACAGAAATGACATATGCCACCCACGGGGCTGAGGACATCGGTGAGAGTGACGGTGTAAGCCACCCTGGGGACTTAGGGGACTGATGGAGCGACAGGGACAGTGTTTGTCTCCCTGGAACACAGAGCAGTGGCCACTTGGGGCATCCTCCGAGGGGAGACACTGGGGAACCAGGGGGGATGGGGGCGGGGCACTTACTCCACGTGCTTGGACCAGGAAGGCGGGTCACTCATGGTCATGAACACGCAGTTGGTCAGGATGGTGATCATAATGAACATGCTGAACAGCGTTGGGGGGAGGGTCAAGGAAAGTGAGGGAGCAGGTGGGGAGGAGAGGAGGACAGAGGGCCTCCTCGCCCAGAGCGCCCCGTTCTTGCCCACCCCTGACCCCTGCCTGCCTTTCCCCGGCCCTGCACTCGCCCCACTCCGCCAGGATATGAGTGGATGAGCACCTTGATGGCACAGCGTCTGACGATGCTGAAGGGGCTCAGGAGGTAGAGGGCAGGCGTGGCTGAGAAGCGGAAGATGGACTTGCCCTTGTTGAGCACGATGAAGGTCTGCGGCAGGGAGAGAGCTATGAGGCCTGGGACAGGCAGACGGATGGACCAGGACAGACAGGTGGAGGGAGGCCTCCCCGGCGCGGACCTTCTTGTCGCTGTAGTAGGGATCCAGATCCTCCAGGGGGATGCCGATGACTTCCGGCGGGGGATCCCCATAGATGAGCGGCAGATTCTTGCCCGCCTCCATGTCGCTGCGTGGCTTCCGCTCGGTCTCCTCGATCTCCATCTGCTTGTTCCGCAACTGCCGGGCCTCCTCCTCCAACACCCGGCGCTCTATGGCTGCCAGGGACTCCCGGGTGAAGGGGCGTAGACTCTCGGGGCCCAGAGGCACCACGGTGGGCAGAGACGCGTTGGCCATCTTCGCATCCTGGGCTCAGGGGCCAGCAGGGTGGCGGGCAGCTGGGGCAGCTGCAGCGTGCAGCCCCCGGGGTGCTGGGCGGCCACCCCGCCCTGGGGCTGTGGTCCCGCTACTCACCTCCCGCCTGCCCCGGGGCCAGGGCGGGCAGGTTGGCGAGCAGGTGCTGTCGGAACTGGAGGATGTGACTGCGGGGCCGGGGTGTTGCTGTTGCACAGATGCTGGACACAGAGCATCACCTCCGAGCCCCGCACCACACTCGCCCCAGCAGGGGGTTGGCTCCCCTCTGCACTGACAGAAAACCAACCAGGTGCTCTTCTCCCTCGGGGACTTGTGGCCAACGCCCCCGTGCCTTCAACCACCTCCTGGGCCCGAGTTCTGGGAACTGTGTGGCTTCAGCCTACGGGGAACAGAGAAAACCACAGCAGGCTATACCCCTGTTACTTCGATCCTGCAGTGAGGCAGAAAGGAATAGGATGTGAGATGTGAGGGTAGACCCAGAGGATGGGCCCGGCGGGGTCAGCCTAAAGCAGGAATGGCAAACAGATTTCATCTTGAAGGCTGACATGGATCAGCTGCTCTTGGCTGCCTGGAGATGTGGGCCAAGACCATGTGGGCTGGAGACAGACTCCGTGCAAGGAGACTGCTGGGATTGATTAGTGATGTCTGCCCGGGGCATGAAGGAGGAGGATGCGGTGTACCTGCCACTCTTCACCATATCTGGCCTGGAGGGAGCAGACAAGGAAGATGTGTGAACACTCAGCGCCTTATCCTGAGCTTTGGGGAGGTGTGATGTTGGGTGGGGAGCAGGAAGAAGGAAGATTCCCAGGCTCTGGGGAGAGTCTCAACAGCTTCCTCCTCCACAACCCGTGGGATCTAACCTATGGGCAGGGAGGGGGAACTGGAGCAAGAAAATGCAAGGTGTGTGTGTGTGGCCACGTCAGGAGAGCTTGCAGGTGCTAACATGGAAGAGCAGGATACACAGGTAAGGTCCTGGGGAGAAAGAGATGGACAGTTTCAATGGTGGGGGCAGGACTGGAGCTCCCAGGAACTGCTTTTGGCTGGTGGTCCCTGTATTAACCGGGCAGATAGTGGGGCACCTACCAGGAGCCTTGGAGGCCCATGAGAGCTACACACTGTGTTTCCTGGCCAGTCCCTTGGTTGCTACTACTCCCCTCCTCCCCCAAAGCCTACTTGAGCCTGTTCTTCGTGGAAGGGAGGTAATGGTGGGTCACTTATGGCGAAGGCCCTGGGGAATGACCCACATCAGGAGACGGACGCAGGGACACCTCAGCCACCTGGTCACACACAGCCCTCCCAAGGCCCCCACGGACAGAGGCCCCAGAGGTACCCAGGGCTACACCAGAGGGCAGCTCTGTCATAGTGGGTCCAGACGCCCGAGCAGTGCCCAGGCCAGTGCGGGCACTTCCTCAGGCTTGGTCAACAGGTGGGGAGGGTGGCCCGGGGAGCGGCTGGAACCATTGGGCAGAGCAGGCCACACCCCCCCTCCCCCCTGCCTGACTGCCCAGCTGCTCCCTCCCATCACCCGGGGAGTCGTGTTTCCACGGGGATGACTTTGCTCATTCCTGCCCACCCCATCCCTCAGCTGCTCATCGGCCCTGTCGTGTGCGTGGGAGTGTGTCTGCATGGACACACACGTGTGCATTTGTGCACACACACAAGTGTGCACACCCAGCTTGAAACCCCTTCTCACACTGACCCCACAGTTGTACCACCAGTTGCCACACACCTTCTCTCCTTCATCCCCATCACTGGTCCCACGTATGTGTCCGAACAGAAGACATTGACCTGCCAGATGGCCCTGAAGAGAGCATGGCCAACGAGCACCCTCCCAGTTCATGGGCCCCACTTGGCACAATTCTCTGGCCTGATGCTGCCCCCTCCCTCCTTTGCAGGAGCCCAAGTGAAGGAGATCAAACCAATCAATCCTAAAGGGAATCAACCCTGAATATTCATTGGAGGGACTGATGCTGAAGCTGACGCTCCAGTACTTTGGCCACCTGACACGAAGAGCCAACTCATTGGAAACGATCCTGATCCCTGGAAAGGTTGAGAGCAGGAGGAGAAGAGGGCAACAGAGGATGAGATGGTTGGATGGCACCAACTCAACGGACATGAGTTTGAGCAAACTCCAGGAGACAGTGAAGGGCAGGGAAGCCTGCTGTGCTGCAGTTCATGGGGTCACAGAGAGTCAGACACAACTGAGAGACTGAACACCAACAAAGTGGGTTGACAGAAAACCAGAGACAAACAGCCCAACTTTGGCCCCAGCACCGGTGGAAACTGCTGGCCAGAGTCACCAGAGCCCCCAGCAGTCAGACCTGGCGGTTTCTGTGCAGCTGACCCTCCCTCAAGCGTCTCCCGGCCATAGCCTCTCCTTTTTTAATACTTATTTATTTTTGCCTGGTCTTTTGAAATATTTGTTTGTGTGGCATGCACAGCCTTTAGCTGTGGCATGTGGGATCTAGGTTCCTATGCATGCATGCTCAGTTGCTCAGTCATATCTGATTCATTGCGACCTTATGGACTGTAGCCTGCCAGGATTCTCTCTCCATGGGATTCTCCAGGCAAGAATATTGGAGTGAGTCGCCATTTCCTCCTTCAGGGGATCTTCCTGACCCCGGGGATCGAACCCATGTCTCCTGCGTCTCCTGCATTGGCAGGTGGATTCTTTACCATTGAGCCACCTGGGAAGCCCTGACCAGAGATGGAACCCAGGCCCCCTGCGTTGGGAGTGCAGAGCCTTAGCCACTGGACCAGCAGGGAAGTCCTCACAGCTTTTGCTCCCGAGAGAAGAGTGCAGGCTCCCCATTGGGCCGCTCTCTCTACTTCTGCTCTGTGAGCTCCTCCTTCCTGCCCCCCGCAAGGCCTGGTCTGCAGCCTGTGTTTGGTTTTGTTTTTCACAGCGGGCATCTCTCCCTGTGCCCGTCCCCTCTGCCCTGGAACGATCACCATCCCCCTCCTTTCATGGTTTCTGTTCATGCTCTCTGCAGCGGCCCCAAGACAGGTCAGGTCATGGCTCCTCTTCTTGTGTAGCCTTCACAGCTCTTAGGTCAATGGTGACTCATGCTCTGCTCGTGTGATGGGTGTCTGTCTCCCCCACCAGAAACCTCAGAGACCTTTGGGGTCACCCTGAACTGGTGCCTGGCACATTGGCACGGGACCCACAGCCGGGGCAGCTAGCCTGGCACCTCCTCCTGCCATCCCCTAGCTCGCCCCCAGTGGACTCCTCATCCCTCCTTTTGAAATTTGCGCTTGGTCCTAAATTCCCGCCTTCCTCCTCCCCTCTTCACCAGCCCTGAAGCCACTTCGCATCTGGATGTTGTGTTATATGAGTGGGTGGATGCCCTTCTTGGCTAGGCCAGTGGAGGCAACGGTTTTGGTTGGTGAGGGCCAAAAGCATCCCAGTGGCACATCTGGTCAGTTCCCAACCTCGCCGAGGCTCCCTCCCAGCACCCACCTGTCTCTCCATCCTGCAGGGGGTGCTTCATCACCCCTCACCCGCTCCGTTCAAACAGCCTCCCATCTGCTCCCTGCCTCCCACCTGGCTCCCCTTCAATCCACCATCCCCATTTCTTTTTTGAAAAAATTATTTTGATTTATTTATTTGGCTGCACTGGGTCTTAGTTGCAGTGTGAGGGATCTTTAGCTGTGGCATGTGGGATTTAGTTCCCTGACCAGGGATTGAACCCGGGCCCCCTGCACTGGGAGAGTGGAGTCTTAACCACGGACCACCAGGGAAGTCTCTACCCCCATTTCTAAAGTCACAAATCTGTTCAGGTCACCCTCTGATTAATCTTTTGCTGGATTAATAATGCATCCATAATGCTTAATAATGCATCTATAACCAACAAGGGCCTGCTATAAAGCACAGGGAACTCTGCTTAATGTTATGTGGCAGCCTGGATAGAACAGGAGTTTGGGGGAGAATGGATACATGTATATGTATGGCCGAGTTCCTTTGCTGTTCTCCTGAAACTATCACAACAGTGTTAATCGGCTAGACCCCAACGCATAATAAAAAGTTTATCTACAAAGTGCATCTGCATTCCTCCATGTGGCTGCCCAGACCCTCCTTGATCCGAGCCCTACCTCGTCACCCAGCCCCTCTCTACACGCACCGCCCTCTGGCCATGCTACCTCCATTTTCACAAATGGGCCACACTGTTTTTCACTGAAGTCCGTGCCTCCTGAAGCACTTCTTCTTTTTGTCACCCTGGAGAGCTTTAATTTGTCCTTCCAGGCTCAACCTACACATGAACCACCACCTCCAGGAAGCCTTCCCTGGTAACCCTGGCTGAGTGGATTTCTCCTTTGGATCACCTGTGTGCCTGATGCTGAAGAAGAGTTTATCAAATGAATGAATGAATGAATGAGAGGGCTCTTCCACCTGAGTTATTTCTCCTTTGAGCCCGCTCTGAACTGAAATCATGAACAGAAACTGGATCTCCTCTGATATGGCTGCTTTGAGCACTCCCCTCCCCCACCTCCTACTACTCAGCTCAGGTGCTGGGTTGTGTAATCCCTGAGCTTCTCCTCGTCTTCTGCCCTTGACCCTGAGATTTCTCCCTCTCCATCAGCCCCTCAGATTTCACCTCCCTCCTCTTCCAGGCTCAGTTACAAGATCCACTATCATAATTACCCCTTGAAAATACCGTTGGGGGACCGAAGATTCTATGCTTGGAATACTTCCAGACTTCTGCCTGTGTACCTTTTCATCTGCTCTTCATTTTTACCCTTTATTATCCTTTATAATAAAATGCTTTTGAATTATGGCATTGGAGAAGACTCTTGAGAGTCCCTGGGATGGCAAGGAGATCAAACCAGTCAATCCTAAAGGAAATCAACCCTGAATATGCATTGGAAGAACTGATGCTGAAGCTGAAACTCAAATACTTTGGCTACCTGATGCGAAGAGCTGACTCATTGGAAAAGACTGAGGGCAGGAGGAGAAGCGGGCAACAGAGGACAAGATGGTTGGA